ACTAAACATGGATCATGTATGCCTGTACTAGTTAGCTGGGGAGCTGTCATAGCTCATTCATTCTGTAGCAATCTCATCTCCTGGACTTTCACTCCGCTTTACAAGCTCTGACAGTTGGTACCCGGGAGACCAGATGAATCATGGGAGATCCTTTATACAGCTTCTAAGGTCTCTAGGGCTGTTGTGCTCTTCTGGGCCTTTCACAACATTTCACTTCGGACAGCAGTGGCGCAGAGGAGTTGAACGAGGGGCATTGTCCTCCAAAGAGGGAGTGTCAGATGTGGCCACAGCCTACAGCTACAACGCCACTGCTAAAGAAGCTTCTACCTCATCCAGATACTTTACTTACTTTTTTTGTGTACATGAGGTCACCTAACAGTGCCATCTGAAATTCTGAGGCCCTAAACTTCATTCCTATAGTCAACCAGCCAATCATTACATTCATATTCTTTCTTCTTCATTAACTGGTTATATCACTCGCCTGAAGCATACTGTTCAGAGTGAATGATGCAACAAAATAACAGAGGCTATGACAATGAGCAGATCCAATTAAGTCTGTAATTCTTTGAAGTAGGTATCATTACAATCCCATTAACGTTGGTATAAGCAATAATAATCCTCTTGCAAACTAATCCATTCTTCTCATCCACTTCCTGTTACTCCTCTACACTACAGCGCTGAGGCTGCAGTACGAGGCAGGTTGCTTATTCCCTTGCTCTGACAGTTGAGGTAACTGTGGTTAACATCCTCCAGGTTTTGGAACCCATAAGTGCCCTGGCAAAATCGATCTCACCTGCACCCATGTAGGCTCAGACTCACTTTCTGAGGCAGGCAATAGTGCATGTGGCTCTGTCTGAGAGGGTAGGGGCAGAAGTAGCCATTAGCCTGGGGCCAACATGCACTCAGTGGCCTGCCTGGTCTGATCCTCCATGGAGTAACATTATTTCCATGGAGATGATATTTTTATTTCAGCAAAAGGAGGGCATTTCAGAAGGGTAGCTGAGAGGGCTGTGTGTGAGAAGGCAGAGAGGATGAAGATGTGTGAAGCTGAAGCATAAGCATTTTTACATTAAAAGATATTTAGTAATGCTAACTCACTTATGATGGAGAAATGTCTATGGCTGTGAAGTCTAAGGTATTGGACACAGGTCTTTGTAGAGGGTTCAAATCCAGGCAATTTGTGCTTTCAGTCACCTAAGACAGAAAGGGGTAACTAACCTGTGCAGGGTTTCATTTGTGGCTGCAAGAGCTGGTCAGAGGCTAGTAATTCACTTCCTGACAGCCCAAAGACAATCCATCCTCTGAAAGGCACAAGTCAGGAGTGTGATGGAATACTCCTCACTTGCCTGTAAGAGCGCACTCCCACAACACTCAAGAAGCTTGACACCATTCAGGACAAAGCAGCCTACATGATTTGCAGTCCACCTTCAACATTCACTCCCTCCATCACCAACACTCAGTAGAAGCAGTGTATACCATCCAAAAATGCACTGCAGTTACTCACTAAAACTGCACTGACAGCACCATCCAAATCCACCACCTCTACAAACTAGAAGGTCAAGGGCAGCAGACAGGTGGGAACACCACCAACTGCAAGTCCCCTTCCAAGCATATCTAACTTGAAATTATATCACTATTCCTTAAGAGTCGCAAGGTCAATGTCCTGGATCTCCATCACTAATAGCTTTGTGGGTCTACCTCATCCCAAGCACAGCAGTGGTTCAAGAAGGCAGCTCGCCACTACCTTCTCCAGGGAAATTAGGATTGGCAATAAATGCTGGATTAGCCGGAAACACCCCTGAGCCTGTGAAAGAATAAGATGTTTAGAGATATGTAATGAAATGCAGTCAAGGTGAAATGTTCCCTCCTCAGAGATGCCTCCGGGCTTATTGAATCCTGCATTTTCTGTTTCTGTGACTGCATAAATATGGAGAACTGCAAGAAGTTATAAACTACAGTCAGGTGGTGAACTCTTTAAACTCTTTTCTAAACATTATTTACTAGAACTACACAGTAAACATGCAGCGCTAAACTCAACAAGCACAGTTTCAGTCCATCCTTAGGAATAGAGATTAAACCTAGTTATGTCCATCAGTTGCATATAACTTAACTCAACAATTTACTTTTATTTAGTACTTTTACTGTAGTAAAACAAACTGAAATGCTTCAATGCATCATTACAAAGTATGACAATGAGTCACATAGGATGTTATGCTTTGGTTAAACAGGGCACTGGTGTGACCACGTCTGTATTACTGTGTACAATACTGGTCACCTTATTTAAGCAAGGATGTAGATGTGTTTGAAACAGTTCAATGAAGGGTTACTAAATTGATACCTGTCGAATGTGTGCATGTTTTACGAGGTAAGGTTATGCAGGTTAGACTTGTACCTGCAGAAGTTTAAAAGAGTACAATGTGAGTTGATTGAAACAAAAGAGATCTTCAGGAGTCTTGACTGAGTGAATGTGGAAAGGATGTTTCCTCTTGAGGGAGAATCTAAAACTAAGAGTCACTGTGACAAAATAAGGAGTCATCTTTCTGAGGTAAACATGAGAATTCTCTCTCTCAGAGGGGTGAGAAACATTAGAATTTCCCTTTCCCAAAGGCAATGGAAGCAGAGTGTGTGAATACTTTTCAGGCAGAGGAAGATAGATTCTTGGTAAGTAAGAGGGTGAAAGGTGATCAGGAATATGTAGGAATGTAGATTTGAGCTTACAACCAGATTAGCCATGATTGCACTGAAAGGTGGAGCAAGCTCAAGGGGACAAATGGCCTACTCCTGCCTAACTCATAAGTTCATAACTTTGCATTCCTATAAACAATGCATGGTGATGACCCTAAGGTCACTTAGGGTAATTACAAATTGACAATTCACAATTCACATGAGAGAAAAATTGAAGTTACCAAAGACAACCACTCAATGAAATGAATGGTGTACTGGCCTTTGCTCTTGGTCACTCTTACATCGTGCTCCCCTTGTTTCCCTGAATGAGGAGGAGGCAGCATGTATGTGTCTATCAGCCTGCAGCCGTGATGGTGAATGTCTTTAACATGGAGGTGTAATTGTGGGTAACTCCAAAGGTTGCTGCACCATTGTCAACACAGTGTAGCTTCAATCACATGCCTCCGCTACACAGATGGCTTGTCAGTCAGTGGAGTCAAGAAAGCCAAAAATGATGACTGCACCCAGTGAGGGGTGGTTACCTCATCCTTTCGATAGCGCTGTGGATCACTTGGGGGACCCATCAGCTGGGGTGGAACTGGCATTTATTCAAAGCACCTTTGTGCTATAGCAAGTAGCATGCATTCTATGCATGTCAATGCACTGCTCACAGTGATGCTACATGTGGCTCTCAGTGAAATTGACAAGTCCTTCAACAGAGGTGCTGCTGTCTTCAAATCCCTAAGCAATGGCATTGCACCTAAGTTACAGGGACTCTTACTTTCTTGGCCCATGACTTCACATTGCTTCAAGCAACTCTCAATATTTGGCACATGCTGTTTTTTCAAGCAGAGCAACCCTTCTTGTGATTCCAGACACTCTAAATCTACATCTGCTGGGTATGGCTGTCAGTATTCTTCCATCCCACCCGAGGAAGCTGTCTCTGTCTCTCTCAACTCAGATGGTTCTTCATCCTGCACACCCTTCTCATTGTATACGAGGTAACACTAAAAGGAATCTACTTGCAGTGTTGCAGGGTGTGCTCAAATGGTGCTAGCTGTGTGGCTTTCATTTCCTGAGAAGACTCTGGTGACGTTGCTGCAGTAGGGGCACCTTTCCCCTCTACAACTGGGCATGAGGGAAATGAAAGAAGATCATGATAACTTGCCTCTGACCACAGATATCTCCACACAGCAGAGGTCTCCCAATTCAGCTGAAGTTTTTGCCATGTTGTTGTATAGGAGGAATGCATTCCATTCCCTTTATCTGGTCAATTCAATAGCTGCTCAACCTCTCCAAATGGGTTTTCCACTTCTCAATTACCCTCTTCTTTATGTGACATCTCCCTCACGGTGTCACTGCTTCCTCCCCCATTCTACTAGGATTGGCAAACTGGGACACAAGACCACCTCTGAGCACCTTCTTCTGGCATTGTTTGTTCTTCTGCAAGGGCAAACTAGGGCTATGCTGGTCACCCTCAACAATTGCAGTGGCCCAGTGAAATGTGATGCTTCAGTTACCAATGCTATCATCACCTCAGTAGCACAAGGGCTTTCAGATTTGCTCAGGGGTCAATAATCATCTGGGGCACACATTTCTTCCCTGTTCAGGCGTGTCCTTCTCCCACAGGTTAATCAGTCAGCATGTCTGCAGACCTGGAGGTCACTGAAATCTCTTTGAGCACTACATCCAGATTTATTCTCACAACATTGTAGGTGCTTATGCGCTTCACCACCTCCAGACGTACCAGATAAGATTGGTTGGTTTTCTCCTGCCACCCTCAGGGCCAAGAAAGCTCGATTATCTTCCACTCCTCTGGTGTCACCTCACTGAACTCTGGGCTGCCCTCCCACAGGTGGTTGGCCTCTGTCTCTACTCATTTTTTAAAGCAAAGATTAAAAAAATACAAATACCTCCTAATTCATGAGCAGATTGCTCTACTTTACAGAAAATTTAACATTTGAGATTAAGCAAATGAGTTTGGGCAGAAACTTGATCATAGTTCCTAGGAAAACAGAAATTTCAAGTGTAATTTGTGTTTAGTTTCCTGATTATGCCCAAAGCCAAAAATCTATTCCAATATGTTTAATTGCCTGTGCAACTGGCCTAACAAGTGAAATTATGAGCTTTACAAACTGTTCCAAGTTTCACTCAGGTAAAACAGCGAAGTGTTTCAATAAATACTAATGACCAAAACACATTGTTTCTTGCTAAAACAAATGCAGTATAATGTTTAGGATAAACAGAGCACCTTTGCAGATGAAAATTTAGAGAGTAAAGTCAAGATATTGCAATGAATAGTCTTACGATGGTTCAAAATGTTAAAAAGAGCATACCTTTAATTTCCTTACAATCAATGTCAGTTACGTTTCCTTTGGACAGTTCCTCTTGATACTTCTCTGGATGATGCACAGAAGAAACAATTCCAACACTGGAAGTAGGGAAACTGGTATCTTGGTGATCCTGCAAAGTTTCTGCACGATCTGCTATCAGAGCTGGTTGCAATTTCCCAGCAACTTCCTCTGCAGGCTGATCCTGCAATTTCACACTCACTGCCAAACCTTTGGTTATAATACCAGCTGCAGAAGAACATCTCTTCTTTTCTTCATCACAAACAGCAATTAATATATTTTTCTCCAGAACTACAGCATTACCATCCAGACAGTTAGGACAACCAGACAACTCAAGTCCAAGTGGATTTCTGTCTTTTAATGGTAAATGATCCTCTGTAGTACTGAGTTGGTCTGCTATCGCATCAGAGGCAACCAATACTGACTTCTTACTAGAGTCTGAGGAGGAACAATATTTTAACACATTTCCCGTTTCTTCAAGGTCCTGCATGTCATTCCCTGTCAGAACAGCATGACCTGAAATTCCACTTTCTGAGAGGAAATCAGAATCGTTTTTGCCTGAAACATTATGGTGCAATATAGGCTTGATCTGCATCAACTCTTCGGCCAGTGGTAGATTACCCAACTTACTGCTGCAAGGTTTTGGCTTGTTTACAGTCCCTTCAGCATCCACCGGAGCTCCAGGATCAGCTTTGCAATTGACGGAGCTTGTCTGGGAGTCACGTGTCTCAATAGTTTCCCACTCCCCATTCATGCAGTCATCAGTGCCTTCTTCAACCTCCTGCCAATCAAACATGACCACATCTAAGTCAGCATTCTTCCTCAACTCTTCATCTTCATTTACCTTTTGCTTCGTATGTTCTTCTGTGACTGTCTCCACCCTCTTTAAACAAGAGCACAGAAATAAACTAACATTAGGACTAGACCACTGTTAACATATTCACGTTCACCAATATCAATAACACACTTTGGTGTTTGCTAGAGGGTTGGGGAGGGTTTAAACTAATATGCCAGGGGGATGGAAACCTATGTAAAGAATTAGCGAAGGCGGCAGCTAGAAAAGGGAATAAGAAAAGTAATAGGCTGAGAAATCAAGGACAAGATTCAAACAGGGCTATTGAGAAAAATAAGGGGACGACAAACACTGTTAGATGGACAAGCTTAAAGGCTTTGTGTCTTAATGCATGGTGCATCTGCAATAAAGTGGATGAACCAATCGTGCAGATAGATGTAAACGAGTATGATAAAGTTGGATTACAGAAACATGGCTGCAGGGTGACCAGGGATGGGGACTGAATGTCCCAAGGTATTCAGTGTTTAGGAAGGACAGGAAAAAAAGAAAAGGTGGCAGAGCGGCATTGCTGGTGAAAGAGGAAATTAACACAATAGTGAGAAACAATATTAGCTCTGACAATGTCGAGTCTGTGTGGGTAGAGTTGACAAACACCAAGGTGCAAAAAAACATTAGTAGGTGACATATATAGATCCCCAAGCTGCAGTGGTGATGGCAAGAATGGCATTAAACAGGAAATTAGAGATGCATATGATAAGGGAATATCAGTGATCATGGGTGAATTTAATCTGCACATAGATTAGACAAATCAAATTAGCCACAATGCCATAGAGGAGGAATTCCTGGAGTGTATACAGGAAGGTTTTCTTGACCAATATGTATGGAACAACTAGAGAGCGAAAAATCTTACACTGGGTGCTGTGTATTGAGAAGGGAATCATTGCCAATCTAGCCGTGCAAGACCCCTTGGGGAAGGGATACCATAACATGATAGCCGTTTTTTAATCAAGAGGAGACTGAGGTTGTTGATTCAGAGACCAGGGTGCTGAACCTTAATCAAGGAAACTACAAGGATATGAGGCATGAGTTGGCCTTGATAGATTGGCAATTAGTTAAAGGGACGACAGTGGATAGGCAACGGCAAACATTCAAGGAACGCATAGGAGATCTGCAACATCTGTTTATTCCTGTCTGTCGCAAAAGCAAAATGGGTAAGAGGGCCAACCCATGGCTTACAAAGGATATAAGAGATAGTATCTGATCCAAGGAAGAAGCATACAGATTGGCCAAGAAAAATAATAAATCTGAGGATTGGGAGCAATTTAGAATTCAGCAAAGAAGGACCAAGAGGTTGATTAAGAAGGGTAAAATACAATACGAAAGTAAGCTTGCAGGGGACATAAAGATTTATGCTAAGAATTTCCATAGGTGCTTGAAGAGAAAGAGATTGGTAAAGACAAAAGTAGGTCCCCTACAGACAGAAACAGGGGAATGTATAATAGGGGACAAAGAAATGGGTGAGGAACTGAATACATACTTTGGTTCTGTCTTCACCAAAGAGGACACAAATCAGATGCCAGAAATGTTGGAGAATGCAAGATTTAGTGAGAGGGAAGAAGCGAGGGAGATCAATATTAGTAGAGAAATGGTGCTGGAAAATTGTTGGGATTGAAGGCTGATAAATCCCCAGGGCCTGATAATCTACATCCCAGAGAACTTAAGGAAGGGGCTCTAGAAATAATGGATGCATTGGTGGTCATCTTCCAGGATTCTAAAGACTCTGGAACAGTCCCTGCAGATTGGAGGGTAGCTAATATCACTCCAATATTCAAAAAGGGAGGTAGAGGGAAAACAGGGAATTATAGACTGGTGAGCCTAACATCAAAAGTGTGGAAATTTCTCAAATCCACTGTCAAGGATTTTATAGCAGAGCATTTAGAAAGCAGTGCCAGGATCAGACAGAGTCAGCATGGATTTATGAAGGGGAAATCATGTTTGACAAATCTGTTCGAATTCTATGAAGATCTAACAAGTAGAGTTGACAAGGGGGAGCCAGTCCATGTAGTCCATTTGAACTTTCAGAAAGTGTTTGACAATATGACACATAAGAGATTAATGTGCAAGATTAAAGTGCATGGGACTGGGGGAATTGTATTGAGATGGATAGGAAACTGGTTGGCAGAGAGGAAACAAAGAGGAATTAATGGGTCCTTTTCAAATTGGTAGGCAGTAACTAGTGGAGTACCACAGGGATTGGTGCTGAGACCCCAGCTATTCACAATATATATTAATAATTTGGATGAGGGAACAGTTTGCAGATGATACCAAGTTGGGTGGAAGGGGGAACTGTGACAAGGATGCAGAGATTCTTCACCATGATCTCGACAGGTTGGGTAAGTGGATAAATCAATGGCAGATGCAGTATAATTTGGATAAATGTGAGGTTATTTGCTTCAGAAACAAAAACAAGAAGGCAGATTACTATCTGAATGGCTGTAAATTGGGAGAGGGGAGTGTGCAGTGAGACCTGGGCATTCTTGTGCACCAGTCGCTGAAGGTAAGCATGCAGGTGCAGGTGGTAAAGAAGACAAATGGTACGTTGGCCTTCATTGTGCGAGGTTTTGAGTACAGGAGCACGGATGTGTTGTTGCAGCTGTACAGGGCCTTGGTGAGGCCACACTTGGAATACTGTGTGCAATTTTGGTCTCTTTTTCTCTTGCTCTCAAGGGAGTGCAGCGAAGGTTTACGAGGCTGATTCCGAGGATGGTGGGTCTGAGATTGAGAGATAACTTTGATGTTGTAGAAAATGTAAGTTAAATCAAAGTTTTGAAGCTTTTGACAGAAGGAAAAGTTAGAGAGTGACCCCTTTCCTTAGGTTTTGTCCAACCTGAATCTGACAAAAGAACAAGCACCAGATCTGGGTGAGTCAGTGGGAGCTGAAAGTTTCATACAATTCAACTTATTAAGTCACCGTGGTTTCCTTCAGTTATCATGCCAGCATCCTGAATGTCACTGGTGATTAAGACATTATAGTATCAGTCTTAACAAAACCGTATGGAGAAATAAGCTGTGTATAAACCAAGGTCATAACACTAAAACAATTCCTCAAAAACTTCACGGTTTAGAGATCCTTTGTCCAAGACTCATTTTTCCTTTTAAAATAAATGTGTTTGTGTCGATGGAAGCATTTAAATCCACAATTTTGGTCCTGAATTCTACTTTCCAAATAATAGGTTGCTATAGCTATTTTTGTTGCCCACTGGGGTGGCATGATGGCTCAGTGGTTAGCACTGCTGCCTCACAGCACCAGGGACCTGGGTTCAATTCCACCCTCGACTGTCTGTGTGGAGTTTGTGCATTCTCTCCATGTCTACGTGGGTTTCCTCTGGGTGCTCCGGTTTCCTCCCACAGTCGATAGATGTGCAGGTTAGGTTGATTGGCCACGCTAAATTGCCCATAGTGTCCGGGGACGTGCAGCCTAGATGAATTAGCCATTGGAAATGCAGGCTTATAGGGATAGGGTAGTGGGGTGGGTCAGGGTAGGATGCTCTTCGGAGGATCGGTGTGGAATTGATGGGCTGAATGGCCTGCTTCCACGCTGTAGGGATTCTATGACATTTCTAATGAAGATACAAATATGCACAAAGTTCTCCTTGTTTGAGAAACAACTGGCAGTTAGACATGGGATTCTGTTATGCTTACTTCTGTGGATATCAGCTGGGATAGGAACATCTGCAGCAGGTAATTTGGAAGGAAGCTTGTCATACATTCAAGCTGGTTGGAGTTACATCTAGCATGAGGGACAGTGGTTGAGATATTGGAGGCCAATCATTTCAGACCCAAAATATTACTGAAAGTGTTTTTCAGAGTATTGTCCTAGGTCCAATATCTTCAGTACCTTCAACACTTTTCCCTCCAACGTAAGAGCAAGTTCACTGTCAATTACACAATGGTCAGTCATATTCACAATTCCTCAGATACCGAAGCAGTCATGTCTGAATGCAGCATAACATGGACAACATTCAGCCTTGGGATAATAAATGACAGGTAATATGTGCACCACACAACTGGCAGATAATGACCATCCAACATGGGAATCCAACCGTTGCCGCTTGACATTCAACAAAATGACCAATGCTATTAAAACTGAGCAGATTCTCCAACTTGCTTGCTGCCTGCAAAGTTGCACTGAGTTTAATGACATTAGGAATTAATGTCATCACAAAACATTTTATGTCCCTCACACACCAATCTCACCTCCCCTAATACCATCTGATTTCACAGGTAAAATTCCAGCCAACTTAACGTGGATAAATGTGAAATTATGCTCTTGGGAAGAAACAAATGTAAAAGTAGTAATAACCTAAATGGGGTGTTGCATATTTACAAATCTTTGAAGATGGCAGGGAAGGTTGATAAGATAGTTAAGAAAGCTTAATGGACTGATTTATAAACAGGGAAAATGAACTGATTCATCACTGGATCCCCCACTCAAACATACTTGGGGTTATCATTGCCCAGAAACTCAACTGAAGTCACCACATAAACACAGTGGCTACAAGAGCAGGTCAGAAGCTAGGAATACCGAGGCAAGTAACTCACCTCCTGACTCTTCAAAGTCTGTCCACCATCTACAAGGCACAAGTCAGGAGTGTGATGGAATACTTCCCACTTGCCTGGATGAATGCAGCCCCAACAACTCTCAAGAAGCTTGACACCATCCAGGACAAAGCAGCACACTTGATTGGCATCACATCCACAAGCATTCACTCCCTCCACCACCGACACTCAGCAGCAGCAGTGTGTACTATCTACAAGATGTAATGCAGAAATTCACCAAAGATCTTCAGACAGCACCTTCCAAACCGACAACCACTTCCATCTAGAAGGACAGGGGCAGCAGACAAATGGGAACAACACCACTTTCAAGTTCCCCTCCAGGCCACTCACCATCCTGACTTGGAAATATATCGCCGTTCCTTCACTGTTGCTGGGTCAAAATCTTAGAATTCCCTCCTTAATGGCATTGTGGGTCAACCCATTGCAGGTGTACTACAGCGGTTCAAGAAGGCAACTCACCACCACCTTCT